GAATTCACAACTTTTAATCTCTTTTCAATTAGATATATAATTACTCTATTAACTTTTAATATCTTTCCATTTCCCATAAGAAAGTGGAGATAAGAACTGAAATGAAAAAAATGGATATTTTGAAAGTGAACAAAATGAACCAAATTAAATAATATTTAATTTTTAAAAAAATATGCTTACTTTCCTACAATTTCTCTATGTTTTTCACCTTCTATGAAAATACGTTTAAATCATTAATCATTAATAAAATTAAAAATTAAAAATTAGTATTTGAGAAGTACTTTCATAAGTTTTTAAAATTTGCCTTAAATTTAGAAAACATTGATTGTAAAAAATAGATAAGAATCTCATCAATAAAAATGATATTTATAAATATAAATTTCAAAAAGAATAGAAAATTATAAAGAATAACAGGCCCAAAATACCGGTTCCTGGAAATACGAGAATTGAGAAATTGCATATTGCAAAATACAAATACAAATACTAATAGTATATGATTTATAGCGTACTTTCTCGTTTCGTATCTCTTTTAATGAATTTCTATGATTTCCTTAAAAATTTTCCCCAAATACTGTTATAAATATAAAAACTCAACATTATAGCTTCAAATATCAATCACAGTCMTACAATATTTTCAAAATATTCCAAAACCAAACATCTCATCCACAACCCAAATTCGAAACCAAACAAAACGACCCCGTTTTAGCAAAGGAGATCGACAGTGGTACGTGGGGATGAAATGACTTTTAGAATGGCGAGGAGTGCTTTCAACTGTTAAAAGAAATGCTTTCACTCAAAAGTCTCACTATCACAGTTTAGTTTCTACCCTCACCCACAAATGTTAAAATGCATGATAAAACACAGCATATCCAAACCTTTTACTACCACATGAACAGAAAGTGTCTAAAATTAGAACCATTGTAGGCCCTGAAAATTTGTCTGGACAGAATGTATTGCAATTATTTCCATCGCGACATAAGGATCGACTCTCAACAAGCACCAGAAAAGGCTCAAAACAACAATTTTGGGAATGAAAATTCATTAGCTGAATAACACCTGTCTCTTATACACATCTAAATTGAGCGTCGTTATGACGGCGGTTACATCTTGTGAAGACGGATTCAAGGAACACGGCGTCGTTTCGCCATTGGCCAAGCGCAACGCCGATGCGTTTCAGTTATCCGCCGTTTCCCTCTCTATCCTCGCTATGCGTCCACAACCTTGAGAGCAACGTAACCCCTCGCCGATTTCGAATCATGAATAAATTTTGACGGCTTTTAGTCTCCACTCTTTTTTCTTTTTTTCGTTCCCTCAAAAGTTTGATCAATTTTGTCGTTTTTTTACATTCAATTTTGTACTGTCTCCTTTTGGATGATCTATGACATGATACTTGTTAAAGTGTTGATTACATTTACTGTAATTCATCTATCACCTTGAGCGAGCGTTTAATGTGGTATTTCAACTCGGTGGTAATTGAATAATGAAATAGGATATTTAAAAAAAAAATTATTGTTTAAATATTATTTTACTAGATGAACTTTAGATTTTAATTCATTTTTTACGCCGTCAAATTTTCTTGTTTCGCAAACTTGAAAGTTGCGAAAGCTTTTTACTAATGGATGGAATAGTCAAAGTCGGTCATTCTTTTGCTGTTGTAAGAAACCTAACTAAGGGGTTGGGGGAATGCAAATCATCGTGTAATCAGAGAAATGTTTAACTTTTTTTTTTTTTTGGTATTTTGTAGGGGTAAACGAGGATAAAGAGATACATTTAGAGAATATATTTTATAAAAATAAGAAGAAAATTATATTTATATAAAAATATGTTTTATCAAAGACATAAAGTAGTTTCATTTAGGAACTTCTAATGGAGATACGTGAATACCAATTCAAAATCTGAAAAAATGTTTCGTTGAATTATATATTAGATTAACCAAATATTTCATTATTTTTTAATATAAGAAGGTTCGAATTCACAACTTTTAATCTCTTTTCAATTAGATATATAATTACTCTATTAACTTTTAATATCTTTCCATTTCCCATAAGAAAGTGGAGATAAGAACTGAAATGAAAAAAATGGATATTTTGAAAGTGAACAAAATGAACCAAATTAAATAATATTTAATTTTTAAAAAAATATGCTTACTTTCCTACAATTTCTCTATGTTTTTCACCTTCTATGAAAATACGTTTAAATCATTAATCATTAATAAAATTAAAAATTAAAAATTAGTATTTGAGAAGTACTTTCATAAGTTTTTAAAATTTGCCTTAAATTTAGAAAACATTGATTGTAAAAAATAGATAAGAATCTCATCAATAAAAATGATATTTATAAATATAAATTTCAAAAAGAATAGAAAATTATAAAGAATAACAGGCCCAAAATACCGGTTCCTGGAAATACGAGAATTGAGAAATTGCATATTGCAAAATACAAATACAAATACTAATAGTATATGATTTATAGCGTACTTTCTCGTTTCGTATCTCTTTTAATGAATTTCTATGATTTCCTTAAAAATTTTCCCCAAATACTGTTATAAATATAAAAACTCAACATTATAGCTTCAAATATCAATCACAGTCMTACAATATTTTCAAAATATTCCAAAACCAAACATCTCATCCACAACCCAAATTCGAAACCAAACAAAACGACCCCGTTTTAGCAAAGGAGATCGACAGTGGTACGTGGGGATGAAATGACTTTTAGAATGGCGAGGAGTGCTTTCAACTGTTAAAAGAAATGCTTTCACTCAAAAGTCTCACTATCACAGTTTAGTTTCTACCCTCACCCACAAATGTTAAAATGCATGATAAAACACAGCATATCCAAACCTTTTACTACCACATGAACAGAAAGTGTCTAAAATTAGAACCATTGTAGGCCCTGAAAATTTGTCTGGACAGAATGTATTGCAATTATTTCCATCGCGACATAAGGATCGACTCTCAACAAGCACCAGAAAAGGCTCAAAACAACAATTTTGGGAATGAAAATTCATTAGCTGAATAACACATTCTCCAGAAAAACCCAAGGAGAAAGAAAGAGAAAAAAGAAAAAGAAAAAGAAAAAGAAAAAGAAGCTAGTGCTTCGTCAACCAGCCATTGGATGGTTGTATACGTACTCAATTGCAAGATTACAGGAATCTATTTTATCAGCCTCCTTGTCTGGAATCTCTAGCTTGAACTCCTCTTCCAAGGCCATCACAATCTCCACAGTGTCCAAGCTGTCTAAACCCAAATCCTTTTCGAAATGAACATCAGGACTCACCTGAAGATAAACAACGCGAAACATTTCAGCCCTATGATTTGAATTCAGTAGGAAAAAGATACCGCTTGGAAGTGACAAAAAGTATAAATACAAAACAAAGGACGTATTTTAACGGCCGTCGATCATCCCTGACCAATAACATTGACTAAAAAAATAGTGTAATATCTATAATAGAATAGGCAAGTTCTTCGTGAATTTGTCAAGAATACAACATTTTAAAATTAAGTCATTAAAGGAGGTAAACCTCAATCCAGTGACCAAAAGACCAAACAACCAGTGTTCTTAAAAGTGCAAGATGCAAAAGTTCTTTAGGGTCTAAGAGCAAGATGCAAAATAAGGGCTGGGATTGGAGGGAGAGGTAAGAAAATGCTAATTGTGAGTAAATTAGCCCAAAAAAGGGGGAAAAAGACGATGGTATCAGTGGCTAACAAAGAAAAAGGAGCAAAGGAGGAAGAACAAGATTAGAGAATGTCACATATGTGCTAATAAAGTGAAGGATAATGGCATTTGAGTATCAAAACTAAACCAAAAAGGGGCTCCAATCTAACAAAATAAGACCTCACGGATTTACAAAATCCTTAACCACCTAGGCCCAAAGAAAAACATGAAATCTAACGACAAACCTCCAATCTAACAAAATAAGACCTCACGGATTTACAAAATCCTTAACCACCTAGGCCCAAAGAAAAACGAAATCTAACTACAAACCTCCCAAGATCTCTCCACCCCTCCAAAAATTATAAAATTTTATTGTTTCTCTTCATCCAAAAACCCCATACAATAACACAAACCCGAGCCAGAGAAAGTAAACAAATATAGACAACACAAAAATCGCAGCAAGATGCATAAAGATACTAGGCAAGGCGGACAACTTGCATCTCAAAAAATTCTGATATGTTATCTTGCATCAATTACATCTAAAACGTACAAGATAAGACCTAGCCAAGCATCCACCATAGTGATACCAAATCAAAAGCTTAAGGGGAAATGGCTTGAATTTAATAATCGACCATATCAAAAGCTTGGATTTCAAAACATACCAAATCAAAGATCAAGGGAAAATGGCTTTTTAGCAGAAATTACTAAGTGCCACTTTCTAGATTAATGCTTGATCGGGGAATCAGCCATAATAACTTCTGTTTTAAGAACGGCTGTGTTTTTTCTCTCAATTTACTACCAATCAGTAAAACATTTAAACAGAATCCCAATTTTCAATTCGCACAGACAAAGCATCGGAAAGGGAACTAAGCAAATGAATCAGAATTCACAGGAAAACAGTTCAAAAGCCATAGAACCGATCGCATCTTAGAGCGATAAATTGAAAATTTCCTTCCCGCATTTCTAAGAACGAGAAAAGTTCGTTTTGGCAGACTTGAAATCGACTGAATCAGCTGGAAAAAAACAAGTGAAAAGGAGGGATAAGATCGAATCACCTTGGACGGATCCACTTTGGGATGGCACTTGATAACCGCGAGGACCCTCTCAATCACCTCCTCTTTGGTAAGATGATCATCGTGTGATGAAAATAGTCGGAGCAATACGCCGGAAAACGGCTGCGGCTGGCATTCCCGATGAGCTAGGGCAAGTAATCGGACCGGAACTCGAACGTGACGAAGAACGGCTGCCCTGAACGCCATCTCTCTCTCACTTTTCTTCGTGGGGCGACTCCTCAAGTTGCTCGAATTTGGGGAACTTATTAATCTGCAGGGAAGCTGCACTTGGCATGCGCAATGCACGTGCATTAGGAAATTTTCTTTTCCCCATATAATTCTTATTTCCTACCCATGGGTAGAAGCCACATTGGGGAGAAATTTTGTCACCCTAATTTGCCATTTTATACTAATTTTTTTCACTATTATTTTGAGTGCAATTTTATCATTTTAAATACAAATCTATCTAACGTCCTACTCTCTCTCTCAATGTTTCCTTTCTATTTTACATGGGACGAACTCGTTGGAGATGAAATTAAAACTCTCATGGTGGAAAATTCGGTGATCTCAATCCATTTCATCAAAACGGAAGAAAATTCTTGACTCACATGGTAGCTCGTTGAGCTTCAGCAGAGGGGTTTTTGTTTGGCGCCTTGGGATTACGCAGCTACTTAGGTGGTTTCTGTTCGAATTAAATACTTCGTCTTAAGTTGATTACGGTTCTTTTATGTTAAAAAATGTTTCCTCTCTCGTCCACTTTTGCCTTCACCTAATAAACTATTTTTACCTATTWATTTAGGCTCAAATTAATTTCTCGTTATTATTGAATAATGAGTTAGTCACCAAAAGTTTGTAAAATTTTGTCTTTATTTCTATAATTTAATTCAAAAAAGTTATAGTTATTTTTAATTATATTTAATAATTAAATTTCAATATTTTAATTATTTAATAATGCAAATAGTTAAAATAGGTAAAGTCTTCCCGATTTGTTGCTACGAGTTAATTCAAAAAATTGTAACTTTTCTTTTAATATATTAAAATGTTGTAAATTTAATAATATATGGTAAGTTGTTTATTATTCTTTGTTGTATTTTTTAAGGATATTTTTCAAGTTATCGATGCTTTTCAAATTTTKGTAGTCATTTAACTGACGGACTGGATCAACTTATGTGGCATGAGGTAAACATGTAGAATACGAAAAAATTGATTAGATAAACATAGAATGTGTGTATGTGTGTATGCATGTGTGTGTATGTGTTTGTGTGTACACGTGCGGTAGGRCGAGGGATAAGGGGGAAGTCCCTAAATTGAAGACTTCGCACGTTCGCTAACGCTCGTTTATATGATAGCGAGTGGAATGCATACGTCCCTTTTGAGATAGGGGCAAGTACGAAACGAGCTCATAAGTCAAGTACGAAACGAGCTTTGAGCCRCCCTATCAAAAGGGTTAAAAATYAGCCAAAAGAGCTAAAACTCTTTTTTTTAGTTTCCTTTGAGYTCCACTCCTCAAGGTCCGTACCTACTTTTTGGATTGTGGAAATATTTCTATCATCCTTTTAACTCTCAATGTGAGTGACTCTAACTCACGTTGAGATGAAGCAAAAGCAACAAATAAAATATTTCTTTTAATAATAACAAATAGAGAATATATACTAGGTGTCCGTATTTGGTATTGAAAAATGGTAAAATGATATTTGATAATTAAAAATGTTCATTTATATTATTATAACTTGCAAGTTTTATATTTGACACTTCTACCATTTTATTTAGTTATTGGTTTTAAAATCAAAATATATCATAAATTCTATTATCTTTCTTATATTATATCTCTCTTTGATTCTAGTTTTTTTTCCTCACTATTATTATTATAAATATAATGATAAAATTTGCCAATTATAAGGAGACATCACATTGATGGAGACGATCAAATAGAGAATCTATCGGAGTCGAGTTGAGAAAGGGAGAGGATGCGACAAATTGATGAAATCGAGTAGGAAACAACGGTGGGGCAACGATAGAAATGAGTTGCAAGTGAGGCGGGGGGTGGAGGGTAAAGGAGAGGGAGGCTTATATGTTGAGTTTACATAGGTTGTGTACCTTTTTCGGTTTGAGGTATAGTGCTTTATATTTTTGTACTAATTGTTCATAAAAATATACTTTTTTTTACGCGAAAATATACCTTATTTATTCATAGTATTTGTATTTCTTTAGTTAATCTTGTTCAATTTATTTGTTACTATCTCCTTATTTTTATATGTTTGAATTAATTGTTCACAAAAATACACATCTATTCATCGTATTTGTTGTTGTATTTGTTATTTCTCTTCACCATATTTGTTATTCTTGTATTTTTGTGTCCACYGTATTTRTTATACTTTTGTTTCTTTCTGTTCACCATATTTGTTGTCCGTATTTGTTTCTGTTCACCGATATTTATTGTTTATTGTATTTTTATTTATTTGTTCACCGTATTTGTTGTATTTATTCATCCATTTGTTCTAGTTTGTTTAGTATTTCTATTTCTAATTAWATTTTGTTTATTACATTTTTTTTCCTTAGATTTGTTAGTATAATTATTTCTTGAAAAACTATTTGAATTGAAAAATATAGGTAGGRTTTAAAAATATTTAAATTGTTCTTAGGATTCTCCTATGAAAAAATAAAAATAATAAATTCATTTTAAAATCATTTTAGAAGAGGGTGATTTCGTCCTTAAAATATTAGTACATGTTTTCSTAATTTGACTTTGCCAAAAAGCGTATTTTGAAATTGTCTGGGACTGGGCCCAATTAATGTAAGAGTCAGCATTACTGGGCCTAATACATGGTATATTTCATTATTATACCGTTAGTAAGTTTTCGTGAAAAGGAAGCAGTAGCATAAAYCACTAAAATAAACTACTTACTTTTTTAAACTAAATAAAATACTCATTTAATAATAATAATTACGGAAAGGGTGGATGCCCACGACTACCGACGAAATAAAATTTCCTCTAAAAATCGCGTAAAATAACACTTAAATTAATTAATAATTATATATAATTCCAACTTTTTAGTTTTTACTCGTGGTCTCAAGTGTACAAATTTGCAATTCGATCCATACAAATCGATTTGGGAGTTGGGACGATAATGATTTGGGAATGAAATTCTGCCGATGATACTATGGTCGATGTTCATTTTACTTGGGAGAKAGAACCTTTTATTGCTTTTTTTACTTTTTATTTCTTACAAAATATGGTAATTTATTTGATTTTATACATTGTTCAACTYCAAGGTATGTTTTAATATTTAGCATTTGTCACAGTGGTTAACAGTTAAATCTAAAATATTACTAATTAATTTATTAACATATATGTTATAGTCAGAATTTTAATGCACATTCTTTTAGTAGATGATATATGTGTCTTATTTAGTTGAATTCAATTTTGCATCAACTTYTCTATTAAAATATTTTGAGGGATATTATAAGATATATGTCATTCATTATAAGTATATTTTTGTACTAAATTATTAAACTAAATTTAGGTTTACATGTTTTAATTAAATTTGAACCCATAAATTATTTGTTTACTTGATTTATGGGTTAGTTTACTTGATTTATGGGGTGAAGTAAAGAGGTGGCTCTATCCAATACAAATCAAAGTCATTCTTCCCTATCACAAAGGTAAACCTACAGWTCCTATGCTAATAATTTTCCGTGATAGTAAATGCTAATAAATGATCCAAAACCATAAGATATATGTCCTTGTCAAATGTTTGAATCTCTTTGTCGTAGACTATATCCTTAAAATAATAGTAATTTTATTAGATCGAAAATTTGAATTATCATCTCTATCACTGAAATGTCAGTAGGATATAAAATACAGTCTAAACTTTATTTTTAATATAACTTTCCTAAAACTGTATATACACGCTACATTTAAATTACGTCAGACAATATATAGAACACGGTCTAAACTTTATTTTTAATAAAAATTTCCCTAAAACAATATATGTTGCAGTGAAAAAAATTTTWAAAAATTATCAAACTATATTTCCCCACCAGAGGGAGAAGGCTATCAGCTATTAACGAGAAGAACTAACGAAGTGGACTCGCCGGTTTCTGACCGTTAATAAAGTTGATCGAGTCTGGTCCCTAGGATCTGAGGGCCCCACCACGAGCAAACTAATGACGTGGATGCGTTTATCAAATCCAGTCAACTTATTAGGTTCTGAGTGTGGGCGCGTCACACCGCATTACATCCTCATAAGCAAGCCTTCCACCACTCACGCCCATCGCCACGTGGCGATCGATTACTGGATTGCAGTGTTATTACTGTACACCACTTTCTCCCCGCGGGACCCGCCAATATTTTTTATTTCTATTTATTGAA